CGCTGCTGCCGGTGCTGACACGTGCCGTTCGCAGCGGTCACACGCACACCGAGCAGGACGCACTTCGGCGCGCCTCGCTGGAGTCCCTCCTCATTCACCTCAGTAGCCGGAGTGACAACTCCAGCGGGGGGAGGCCGATTCTAACGGTGTTCCACGGCGATGTTTCTCCCGAGCTCTCCAACAGTGGCGAGCGGCTGTTCAAGAGTGAGGTGTCGCGCCTCATAGTGGAGTGGTTCCCGCCGATGGCAGCGGGTGTCCTTACGCAGATCGCACACAAGTGTTGGGGGAGGTCCAACCTGGAAAGCGTATTTGACGCGCTTCGAATGCAGGCCCTCGTGAAACAGCGGTGTCGTGAGACAATAGTGGGCGCATCAGCATCAGCAACAGTGGCGTCAAGAAGAGGATCGCCAACGTCCACGAGGAACTTGGCGTGGAAGGCGACACTCCAACGCGGACTTTCTACGAAGTCAGAAAAGGCCTCTTTTGTGCGGCTGCTCCTGTGGGAGTTGACCACGCGTATCGAGGAGGCGGCTGGATGTGATAATGCACTGCCGGTGACTGAGGTGGAGTGCTTAATGCTGGAGCTTGCGCGGCGCCGATTGGCGTTCGAGATGGTGTACCTGCAGTCCATGAAGTACATGCAGCACGTGGACGCGACGTTTCGGGAAATGTCGTTCCCGTCGCCTGAGGGTCTGGTGTCAATGGGCGTCGCGTAGCCGGGCGCTGCATTTAGGCAGGCCTGCGCGGCCTTTCACATACTCATGTTGCCGTTGCTCCTGCTCCTGCTCCTGCTGCTGTTGTGTGTTGTTTGCGATGAAGCTTTTCTGCGTCTTTTCACCTCTTGCTCTCTCGCTCTCTCTCTTTCTCTTTCTGTATGCATACACACGTATATATATATATATCCGCCGTCAGTGGTTGTATTCTTTGCTTTCTGCCCGCGACGAGGCACCGGGGCAATACAGCACACGGAAGGGACTGAAGGCGGGCCGTACGCCACACGCAGACGTGCGACCAAACGTCAGAGAACGGAAGGCGCAGTAAACTCACGAGCACAGAGGGGTGACACCGTTCGAGAGAGTCACACCACCATCACCTCGAGCAACAAACAGACAGCCCACCCCCCCCACACACACACACCCTCCACCCTTTCACGGCAGCGGGAGGGCAAGAGCAGATCTCTCACTCCACACAAGCCAAGCAAGCTGGTAGAAGAGACGCGGGCCGCCGATGCGCATTCTTGAAGTCACGCACAGCCCCGGCGAGGTGCAGCGCCACTTCCTGCTGCCTGGCGAGACGTACACGATCGGCCGCAAGAACTGCCGCCTGCCGCTGCCCAACAGCGACCCGTCAGTGTCGCGGCACCACGCGACCATCACCGTCCGCGCGATGC